TCTGATAGTGGCCAGTCATACTCTCCTAATGTAACTGAAGGATCAGTTCAATATGTCTGTCTAGCTCAAGGGAGCATGATTGGTACTTATCAAGCCATAGCTCTTATAGCTACATTCACTCCTAACCCAGGAGAACCTGAACAAACCAGCATATTTGATATTGAGTGTAGCAGTGGTACATGGAGTGGAAGGACTGGTAGTTTAGATCCTCCTCCTGCCAGTGTTGTTGGTGTTCCTCCAAGAACTGATTGTTATCGGTGTCGGGAAGGTTTTGGTGGTGATACTAGATGTAGAGGTAAGACAATTTAATAGAAATAATTGTTAATCTCATTTAGAATGTGACAGTGCTTGTAATTCTGGACTGATGAGGTGTACTGGATCAGGCTCTGGTGATTGTTGTTTATCATTTACTGCTAATGGTCAGTGTGATGGTAGCACTGACTGTACATCATCAGGTCCTAACTATGTTGCTACTGAGAGTAATAACTTCACTTGCAGTAAGTATTACAATTGTATTACTATTTTTTATTATACTTTATTATTAGCTTGTAATCTAACCTGCTCTGCTAGTTATACTGTTAATTCTAATTGTACTGGCTGTGATTCCACTAGTATCTGTGATGCAGACAGTCCATGTATGAATGGAGGACAGTGTATACAGTATTCACCTCCTGATAATTATACTTGTAATTGTACTGATACTGGATATGAGGGAGTCAACTGTACTGGTGAGTGATATTATTAATTGTTACCTTTTAAGGTCAATGGAATTAAGTTGCTGTCAGTGTTATTTTAAATCATGTGATCTATTGGCTTTACAAATTTACACAGTTCTTATCTCACTATGTTTCTTTCTCTTTCTCTTCTTTCTCATCGCTCTATCTTAATTAAGATATAGTGATAAACAAAAATTGTATTACTATTACTATTATTCTTTTATATTTTACTCTTTTTTTATTACAGTGATGCCCTCCCCTACTCCTTCACCTACTTCTTTTGCATGTACTGTTTCAAACTGTGATAATTGTCAAAACTCATCTTGTTGTAAAACCTGTTCATCTGGTTTCTATTTGAATCCTGATGGATGCACCTGTGGTAAAAAGACTAAATATTTATTATTTATAATAATGTTGATAGGTTCAATAGTGTCAATTAGGATATGAAATAAATGATTGTCTGTTTTCATGTATAAACATGCCTCTTTTCTTCCTTTATCATATAGGTTCTTCATCATCAGTAGACCTTTATGAATCAGTTTCTTCTTCACTTGATTCATCAGTGACAAATCTACCCTCAACTGAAACTCCTCAGTTACTATCATTGACACTAATGATTGTAGCTCCTGTTGTATTTGTGCTATTACTCTGTGTTTGTATTATCATAGTATTTGTGATTGTGATAATTGTTAGGAGGAAC